CCCGGCCCTGGAGGGGACAGTGCAGTCCAAGTGGCCTGGGCTCCCCGAGAGGCAGGGGTCAGTCTCTCTCTCAGAAGCAGACCCCAGGGATGCTGCCTTGTTAGTGAGTAGGTGGGGGGAGTCCCTGGAGGTCTGATCTCCAACTCCTGAGGGCAATCCCAAGTGCAGGCTAGGAGCCCTCTACCCACTCGGCCCCTGCGTGCCTCAGCTCCTGCGACACTTGTCGGAAACTCCCCAGCACTGCCAGGTGGCCTGGTCCCCTGAGCCCCGCTCGGTGGCCTGCACACAGCCTTCTGGGCATAATTCCCATGCGGCCTTGCTGAGGGCAGGCTAGTCCAGCTCCACATGGAGGCCCGGGCTGGGGGAGCAGGGCCCAGGACAAGGGTCAGCGTGTTGCTGTGGGGGCAGCCAGCCAGAGCCTGGCCTTGGCCTCCTCCCTACTGCCTGGGGCAGGTATTCTGAGGTGTCTGACTTTCATGGGCTCTGAGTTCTTCTGTGCCATCATCCCCATGGCCACTGCCCTGTCACGGTGACCATGCACACCCCCTATTCCACCAGCAGGAAGGGGTGCTCCAGGGTGCTGCCCAGGTCTGCAGGCTAGTAGCACAGAAGACCCCAGCCCAAGCTGAGCTCAGATTGTATAAGGACCTGGTGGAGCGCGGGTGCCCCAGCTTCAGGGAGCTGCCTGCCCCCACGGGGGCGTGGAGAGGCTCTTGGCACATCCCACAGGGCACTCTCTTGGCCAGTGTCCCATGGTGCCAAGGGGCTGCAGCAGTGCCTGGGGGCCTAGAGCCAGGCATATGTGAGCCCTGGGCCAGCCTGGGTTTGAGGTCCTAGCCCCTTTGCAGGGAGTAAGGCAGCCCTCTGGGCCTCGGGCTGTTGGGGGGGCGCATCTTCTGGCTGATGTGAGTTTCTAGAGCAGTGGTTCGCAACCTTCCAAAATCCATGACCCTTTAATACAGTGCCTCATGTTGTGGTGACCCCCAACCATCGGAAACATGTGTTTTCCGACGGTCTTAGGCAACCCATGTGAAAGGGTCGTTCAACCCCAAAGGGGTCTCGACCCACAGGTTGAGAACCGCTGTTCTAGCGAGAAGAGATTAGAGCCTTCCAGCCCCGCTGGGGGTGGGGTAGCAATAGAACAGCTCCCTTCTCCCTGGAGGCCCTGGGCACCGCTTTGGGCAATTCTGGGCCTTTGGGGCGGGGTGGTCTCTGCTTGGCTCCCATCACAGGCTCAGAAGTGAGGCTAAGGGTGAGAGCCCAGCCCAGCCTCATCACCTTGCTTGTGTGACCTCAGGCCAGCCACTGACCTCCACAGTGCCAAGTTGTGTCCCCCACTGTTCGCCTCTGAGCTGATTGGCCTGAAAGAGAAGGGGTCCCAACAATCCGCAGCAGCTGGTGGCTCCCGGTGTGGTGGCGTCTCCATGCCTGCCTCCCGGGTCTGAACCAGGCTGCCAGCACTGTGCGGGCGCCCCAGGGGTGTGCTGGCTACAGGCACTCCGGACAGACAGGGGTCCCTCCTTCCCCAGAGTGGCTGATGGCTTTCTCCTGGAGGGTGGTCTCAGAAATGGCAATATCTACTTTACACAGAAATGAGAGATGGAGACTTGTGGGGAAGGGAGAGACGGCTACATTCAGGATTTCTATGACCCCCCACCTTTTGGGGTCCCCTTCTCAGCTCACTGGTGGCGCCGAGTGTTGCCTGGAGCATAAGGTGTGTGTGTGTGTGTGTGTGTGTGTGTGTGTGTGCTCCAGTGTACTGCCTTGAGACCCTCTGCCCACTCTGGCCAGTGTCTGTCTGTCAGTCCATCCCGGGGCTGGCAAAGAAGTCTAGAGAAGGCACTGCCTGGGTCTGCAGTTGATGCAGAGTTATCTATCCCAGATAAAACCGCCACTGTGTTGCAAAGGCTATAGGTAGCTATAAGTACTGATTCACAGAGGAAACGTGTAAAGGCCACGTGGCTGCCATCGTTGCTGCTAGAACAAAGGCCGCGCAGTAGGTGGTTTCAAAAAAGGTCAGCTTGTTCTCGTGGGCTCCAGGAGGGCAGCCTGGTGGCACCAGGGGCTATGCAACGAGCTGGTCGCCCCTCAGGAGAAGAACGAGGCTTTCTGCTCCCATGAAGGTATACACCCTGGACACCCTCTGGGTGTCGCAGAGATGTCCTCTGTCCTGCAGGACCCTTGTGAGTCGGAAGCTCACCGCAGGGAGGCCACCCCAGGAGGATGCTTTCTCTGTGTGGCCTCAGAAGAGCCCTTATCTTGTCAGCTTCCAGGGTCTTATGTTCTGGCATCTGCCTGTCTGGCTCTGCTGCTGGCTGTTCAAGCTTCTTTATCACCTTTGAGCACTCCCCCGGTGGCATTGGACAACCCGTGTCCAGATGGGGTTCTAACCGAGGCAGCGTGCTTAGGGATCCCCACACATCCTCTGAAGGGGCGGCACTGGAGATGGCCCACCCGCTGGCCCCCAGGATTCCTGTCTTTGGCAAACTGCGTGGAGCTCACCACGTCATTGCCAAAGTCCTGACTGATGATTCATCCCAATCAAATGTGAGTGAGATTATAGGCGGAGTCCAGCCTGGGGCAAAATTCCTCTTCAGCTGTGAACCTGTTGGGCTGCAGCACAGGTTTCTGGCTTGTAAAGCCCAAGGGTGAACCAGCCTCTGATTTCCTTAGCACTAGGGAGAATCCACCTTCCCCCTCAGCCCAGGCCCCACCCCTGAGGCAGAGGTCCGATGGGCCTCCACCCTCTCCCTGCAGCCCCTCACTAGCCACGGCCATTCTTGTCCTCGGCTCCACTCGGCCACGCGCTGCCAGAGACGGATCATCCAGAGGCACCCGCCCCTCTACAAGTCTTCCTGGTTCGCCGTCCAGCTTCCGCGTGGGTGGCAGGCGCTGCAGGTCCCACGGCTTGTGTTAGGCACACCTGGGTCCTGGGGTGTCAGCTTCCTTGTCACACCCTGAGGAAGTGCAGCAGGATTGCCCCACGCCGCCACCAATCCTTTTATGGTGGCGTTGCTGCCTCCTGGAGCAGCATTGATTTTGGACCAAGGGGCGTGGGGCCCTTGGCAGTGGGCAGCCTGTTCTCAACATGTGGGACTGACCCAGCGGCTGGTGAGCATGGCAGCAGCGCTGAGGGTGGTACGGGACCCGGCGTATTTGGTTCCACTTCCTGGAGCTGCTCCGAGTCCCGACAGGATTGAGCTTGACCCTGATCTCCTGACCTCCTCTGGGGCGATCCGAGAGGTCCCCCTCCCCATGGAGATCTGATCCTGGGAATCCTTTTGTCCAGGGCCCAGCCCTTTGGGACCGAGAGGCCCTGTTTCCTGCATCCTTGGCGCAGCTCTGCTCGTCTCCGAACTTCCCCAGTGGTGGTCCCTGCTCTTCTTGGGGCCAAAGAGGCCGCCACTTCCTCCTTTCTGCCCATGCCCATCCGAGTGGGGGTTCTCTGCTGTGCCAGTCAGTTCGCAGGCGCCCTCTCTTTAAGAAGAGAGTGTTGTACCACCCCCACCACCCCCCACACACACCTTGGGGACATCCTGGAGCAGGCATCCTTCATTTGTCCCACAGGCATCTTGCCTCTTGGCCCCCATGGAAGTAGCATTGTCCTCCTCCTCCACTGACCACCCACAGGCTCCTCCTCTGTGGTTAGCACCCACTGGGCATCCAGACAGTGAAACAGGAACCTTGGTGCCACTCTCTCCTAGTGGTGGGGGGGCAGAGATGGCTGCTCTGCCCCCATGTGGAGGGGGCACAGCCCCTGGGACCAGCTGCTGAGCCCAAAGGGTCCAGGCGTCCTGGGGGCTTGAGTTGAGCCCAGGCGGCACGGTTTTCATCTTGCCAGCAGCCCTCAGTGCCCCGCAACCTCCTTGCGGTCACCTGGTGTGGTCAGTTTTTGTGGCCTGTGCCAGTCGGATGGAAGCAAGGGGTGATGTAGCCGTCGGACGTCGTGGCCGTGGCCATGGCCATGGCCACGGAGTGGGTGCTGACTGGCAGCCACGGCCGCAGAGCAGGGCAGCCCCCAGGGTCCCAGGCAGTGGCCGCTCTCGAGAAAGCCGACGGCCGGGCCTGTCTTCCGAGGTCACGCTTTCACCTGTCTGCCACCAGGACAGCTTCTGACTGCCTGCGAGACTGGTTGTCCCTCCAGCTCAGTGAGTGTGCAAGTGTAGGTGCCCGTGTGCCTTGGGGCTCACAGCCATCCTACAGGGCAGGGTGGGACGGCCCCGTGGGTTTCCAAGACTGACTCTCTACGGGAGCAAGTAGACAGCCTCATCTCTCTCCTGCAGAGCTCCTGGTGGTTTAGAACTGCTGACTTTGCAGTCAGCAGCCACACTGTAATTACCGGGGAGACCCCGGGAGGTAGCCCCCTACTTTGGGAAGCTCCGCCCTGGAGGCGTTCCCTTCCTTCTGGGAATGCCCAGCAGCCACGGTGGCCAGAGGCAACCTAAAACCAAACTCACTGGCTCTTGGCGACCGTACAGGACAGGGCAGACCTGCCCCCTCGAGTTGCCTCGAGAGACTAACTGCTCCAAAATTAGAACGTCCCTCTTTCTCTAGCGAAGCGGCTGCTGGTAGCCCAACGCCAGACCCTTGGAAAACCTATCTGGAGGGAGCCCCTCCCAGGGGGTGTTCCCTGTAGCTGGGCAGCTGGCAGACATGGCTGGCCCTGGTCTGGGCTCCGACCTGAAGGCCCGAGCAGAGAAAGCCAGCTCAGGGACATACAGCCAGGCCAGGGGGCTGAACCAGTGGATGAGGGGGCCGGGCCTGTGGGGACCACGCTCAGATGGAGGGCCTCCTCTGGAAGGGGGCCTGTCCCTGCCCCTTCAGCTCCAGCGGGCTCCCTGCGTCCCTGGGTGCACCTTGGCTAATGGCAATGTGGCTCCCTTCTGGTCCTCTCCCCCGGCTCGGCGTCTTCTGTTACTAAGGATACTAGTCATCGAATGATCAAATCCCAAACTCACTACCATGAGGTCAACTCTAACTCAGCCACCCTACGGGCTTCTGCGGACGTCCGTCTTTCTGGGGGCAGGCAGCCTTGTCTTTCTCCCCAGCTGCAGCTGGGAGGTTTGAACTGCTGCCCTTGCGGTCAGCAGCCGACTTGTAATACACCCAGAGCTCTTCTAGCCCAGCGCCATCTGATCTTAGCTCAGTTCCCTGTGGAAAGAGCCTATTTCTGGGGTACGGCTGTGGACAGACCTTTTGGCGGATGATCCACTGCACAGCAAGTCTGGGGATGGCTCGGCTGCATGGCCCCCGCTTGGGGGGGGGGGTCTCCCTTGAGCTGTAAGCGCCCGCTGCTGCTGCCCCTGCACTGCACACTCGAGCCCCAGCGGGCGCGCTCACTCAGGTACCCCTCCCCCTGCAGGATCATCAGTGCCTTTGTCCGCACCTTCAAGTACTTCTATGGCCTGCGCTTCGAGGTCCGGGGCCTGGAAAAGCTGGAGCTGGACCAGCCCTGTGTGATCATCTCCAACCACCAGAGCATCCTGGACATGATGGGTGGGCAGGGCCACGGGGGCCAGGTTGGCTGGGGGGGCTGGGCGGGGGGGCGCCCGCTGGGAGTTGACAGTGGACAGAGCCCTCGGCCCTGGGCCTTGCACGGGGGAAGCTGAACGTCCGAGGCTGAATCCCCTGCCCAGGTGAGCAGTGGGAGAGTAGGCCGCAGGCCCTCAGCCCCCCTCTCCCCGCAGGCCTCATGGAGGTGCTCCCCAGGCGCTGTGTGCAGATCGCCAAGCGGGAGCTGCTTTTCCTGGGCCCCGTGGGCCTGATCATGTACCTGGGGGGCGTCATCTTCATCAACCGGCAGCGCTCCAGCACTGCCATGTCCGTGATGGCAGAAGTGGGCCAGCGCATGGTCCAGGAGAATGTGAGTGCAGCACCCTGGGGGGGGAAGGCTGGCCACTGACCTTGCCCACAGCACCGGGTGGATGGGTGGGGAGCATGCCCCTGCGGCCACCCCAGGACCTGGGGTGACCGGAGGACCACTCCCTGCAGCTCAAAGTGTGGATCTACCCCGAGGGCACACGCAACACCAACGGGGACCTGCTGCCCTTCAAGAAAGGTGCCTTCTACCTGGCTGTCCAGGCCCAGGTACTGTGGACCTGCCTGCCCCACCAATCCCTGCCCCTCGGCACCTGATTCCCACTCTGGGGCTAGACCTTACCTGTCCCACCTTCCAGTTGGGCTTCTGCAGGATGCAAAAGTGAGTGACTGCTATGTGTGTGAATGTGGGGGCTCCCTCTCCCGGTCCCCCGCTCCCTCTCTCCCTCCCTGTTCTCCCCTCCTCCCTTCTCTTTTTCTGTCCTCCTCCCTGGCTTGTCAAATGTGTCCTACTGTGTGGTGGCTTGTGCGATGCTGGGGGCGACGTCACTGGGGTTTCAGATGCCAGCAGGGTTGCCCAACGTGAGCAGGTTTCAGCAGAGCTTCCAGACTCAAACAAAGAGGACTGGGCTGCCCACTTCTGCGGGGATGACCCACCGGGACCCTGAGATAAACAGCAGTGCCAGGAGAAGGGCCCCTCAGGACGGAAGGCATCAAACAGGAGCGGGAAGAGCTGCCTCCTCAGGGTGGGGTCACCCGGGTGACGCGGATGGAGCACAGCCTACTGAGAAGAAACAACTGGAACACGGAGCATACAGAGTGAGGATCTAGGACAGCGGTTCTCAACCTGTGGGTCGCGACCCTTTGGGGGTTGAATGACCCTTTCACAGGGGTCTCCCGATTCATCACAGTAGCAAAATGACAGTGATGAAGTAGCAACGAAAATCATGTGTTATGGTTGGGGGTCCCCACCACATGAGGAACTGTGTGAAAGGGTCACGGCATGAGGAAGGTTGAGAACCCCTGATCTAGGAAGACCAGAAGTCACCAGGAAAGAAACGGAATGCCCAAGACTGCGCCCAGGGCTTAGTGAGGTGGACTGACTAGCTGAGATGGACGGGCGTTGGCCACTGAACCAGGCAGCCCTGCGCTTTCTGTGCTGGGCATGATGAATTCACGAAGAGGGCCCCACTTATCATTGAGAAGGGCATTTCAAGGTCTATCTTGAAGTACACCACTGTCTGCGATGGGATCCTATCTAAGATAAAGTCCAGCCACCCAGCTGTTCTTTAAATGCGTGCACCAACCACAAAAGCTACTGGTGAAGAAGCTGACGAATTCTACCAACTCCTCCAGTCTGGAAAGGGACCGCCGCGCCAGCAGGATGCATCCATAACGATCGAAGATTGGAGCGCACGCGTCGGAAACAGAGAGGAAGGGCCTGTAGTTGAGAAGCACAGCCTCAGTGATGGCGAGAGGGGGCTGGAGATCACATGACAGAGTGTGCAAGTCAGCCCAGGGGCTTCTTCATGGCAAATACATGGCCAGCGGCCACACACACACACGAGCTTTGTGAGATGGATTGCACAGTGATTGCACAAACTTCCTTAAGTGGAAAGAGGTGATGGAGAAACTCACTACCAGCTGCTACATTGAGGCCAGGGGCCGACTGGAACAAGACCGTCAACCAAATGCTCATGAGCAAGTTCAGGTTGGAGAGGAAGAAAATGAGTCTGCCCACCCCACCTGAATTCTGGGACCGACCTCTCAAGTCACACAGCTGAACAGATGGCTTCGAAGGGCAGCTCGAGGGGCCAGAGCGTTGCAGTGACCAGGGTAGTGACCGAGAATTAGGAAGCCAGAAAGGAAGCATGTGCCCAGGCAGCAGACCCAAGCTGAAAGGGCGGAAGAAAGAATTCAGGCCTCCGGATGCAACGTTGAAGGATGCTCTGAGCAACATACTGACCACGCTGGAAGCACCCAGAGGAGATGGGAAGAATACACAGTCACGGTGCCCCAAAGGGCTGGTCCCCAGGAGACCATTCCCAGGGCCGCGTGTGACCCAGGACCAGTGAACTGAAGGAAGAAGTCCAAGCTGCACCGAGAACATTCACAGGAGTTCACAGGACACGGACTGAAACGTGTCAGCTGCTGGTAAGGTAGGGAAGCTCTCGCTCATCTCTGCCAAGACATTTGGGAGACAGCTGCCCGAGCAGCTGACCAGAAGACACCCATATCGGTGCCCAATCTTAGGGAGGAAAAAAAAGGGAACCCAACAGAAAGGGAAAGTTATTGTACAGGATCGTTGATATCACGTGCAAGCAACATTTTGCTGAAGATTATCCAACCGTGATTGCCCCAGTACCTGACGGAGAACTGCCAGTCAAACCGGATTCAGAAGAGGTCTGGGAGCAAGGATGTAATTGCTGACATCAGATGGATCTTGGCTGAGCAGAGAATACCAGAAAGATGTTGACTTGTGCACATTGACTGTGCAAAGGCATTGATGGTTTGGCTCAGAACAAACTGTGGAGAGAGCTGAGAAGAATAGGAATTCCACAGCACTTCACTGTGCTCATGCAGAATCTAGACACGGACCTAGAGGTCGCATAGCACAAGGGGACACTGGCTTCCAGTACGCCTACGTCCCCTCTCCGTGCTTATTCACTCCGTGTGCTGAGTGGACGCTCCGAGAAGCTGGACCGCAGGAAGAAGAACGTGATGCCAGGACGGGAGGAAAGCTCACTGACAACTGTGATGTGCACCTGGCACGACCTCGCTTGCTGCCAGTGAGGAGAACTTGAAGCTCTTCCAGGTGAAGCTGAAGGACCGCAGCCTTCCGTGTGGAGGATGACTCGGGGCCAAAGAAGACCCAAAGCCACAGAACTGGACCCACAGGGAGCATCATGACCAACGGAGAAGAGGGTGACGTCGTCGAGGATTTCGTCTGGCTTGGATCCACCATCCGTGCTGCTGGATGCAGCGGTCGAGAGATCACGGCGCATCGCACTGGGCAAATCAGCTGCACAGCAAGGATGGGACTTTGAGGACTCAGGGTGTCTGACCTGAGCCAGGGTCTTTTCAGTCACCTCCTGCATGTGTGAAAGTTGGGCAGCGAATAAGGAGGGCCAAAGAAAAATCGATGCATCTGAGTGATGTGGTCGGTGAAGAATGTTGGAAGTACCGTGGACGGCCAGACCAAACAGATCCACCCTGGAAGGACGGCCAGCACGGTGCCTTAGAGGCGGGAGTGGCGAGGCTTTGTCTCCTGTGCTTTGGGCGTGTGATCAGGAGGGACGTCCTGCTTAGTGATCTAGAGGGACAGTGAAAAAGAGGACCCACAGAGAGATGGTGGACACGACGGCTGCAGCCGTGGGCTCCAACAGAACAAGGGCGCAGGACCGGGCCGTGTTTGGCTCTGTTAGGCATGGCATATCATAGCTGAGTCAGAGCTAAGGGCACCTGACCACAACCCTCCTCCCCCTCCTCCCTCTCCTCCCTCTTCCATCTTCCCCCCGCTCTTCCTCCCTCCCCTAGACTGGAATATGGATGACCTAGGTGGCCAGTCTCCCAGTAGTGCTGGCTTGGCCTGGGTGCCCACTGTCCTGGGGCATCCTAACCTGGATGGGGAGCCTGTGGCGGCTGCTCTGTGGGGTCAAATGTGGAAGACTGTTTCTGGGGTTCTGGGGTTCTGTCTCAAGCAGAAGACTGGGGTGCTCCAAGTAGGGGGCCAGTGGAGGGGCTTTCATGGTGGGCTGGGAATCCCCCACCAAGGTCTGTGCTTTTTCCTGCCAAGGAGAGAGTGCTCTTGCCCCTGATGTTTTACTCAAGAGGCTGGAGTGCCCCACTAACACCCTGGGGGCTGAAGTCACCCCCCAAACTCCACAGGGGCAGGTGGTAGGAGGAGCCCAGAGACTGGGTACCACGCTTTGCTTCCTGTCCCCCTGCCCCCCAGCGCTTTATCTCTGCCCCAGTCTCACCCTGTCCAGGCTCCCTGACCTGCCCCTGCCAGTTAATGTTTACCTCCAGGCGACATACAGCACCGGAGTCACTGTTGGACTTGACCACTGTCCCTCCCAGGGACTCTGCAGGCCCGGCCCTCCCCTAGCTAGAGCTGCCCCATGTGTGGGGGTGGAGGAGATGGGGGTCTGGGGCACCCAGTGCTGCTGCCACACAGACCACAGGGGTCCAGAGGCTTTCACGGACAGTGTCTTCTCTTAGGCCCCAGGAGGCTGGAAGTGCACATTCAGGGTGCTGGCTCTGGGGAAGTCAGTCTCTCTCCGCCCCCGCTCCTGCTCTAGGGAAGTCTGCCCCCCCGCCCCTCCCCAGCTCTGGGGAAAGCTCCCTCTCTGTGGGCTCTCAAGGAAGCACCCCTCCCCCTTTGCTGGAGTTCTCAGTGTCTGCCTCTCCTTCCACACTGCCTCCCAGCCACACCCCAGGCTCTCCTGAGATAACAGAGGCGCCTGTCTGAGCAACAGGGTAGGCCGACTGGTGGGACAGACCCCTAGAGCTCAGACAGGAGACTTTCTGGGGCACAGCTGAGAGACTGGGTTCCCATTGGTGGTGGGTGGGAGGGGGCAGCCTTTCCAAGGGCTTCCCCGCCCACATCCCCCCCACAAGCTCTTCCTTGGGTTCCTTGGGCCCCGCGGTGGGGGTGGGGTGGCTGCCAGCTCTGGGCTCCGTTTTGCTGCCCCCAGGTGCCCATCATTCCCGTGGTGTACTCCGCCTTCTCCTCCTTCTACAGCTCCGAGACCAAGCTCTTCACCTCAGGTACCCCCGCCCCCAGCGTGCCCCCCATGTCCACGCGGGCCCCTGAACCTCCTGTCACTGGGCACTAGGCGACCCCCTCTGGTGATCCCTGCGAGCTGGAGAGCTGCCCCACCCTCGTGGTGGATGTGCCGATGGGTGGTGGGTGGGAAGGATGCAGATGTGTGTGTCCATGGGCAAATGGCTGTTTAAGTAGGGGGGTGAGTGGATGGATGAGTTGGGAGGTGGATGTGAGTGGGTAGGTGAGTGGGTGGTGGATGGGTGGGAGGGTGGAGGTGGAGGTAGGGATAGGTGGAGGAGTACATGGTTACATAATTGGGTGAATGGATGGAAGGATGGCTAGGTGAGTGGGTGGGTGAGGAAATGGGTAGTTCACCAGGTGGCTGGCTGGGGTGGGAGATGAATGGCGTGTCAGTGAACGGGTGGGCAGGGTCTCTCACTCGTTCACTCTCGCCAGTGGCTCACTAAGTCAGATGACTCTGTCCCCTTTTGTTGAGGAAGTTAGGGCCCAGATGGGAGTCTAGGGACCAGGTGCACATGCATGCTGCTGGAGGGGTGTTGCTAAGCAGATGTGGGCTGAGCTGACACCCCAGGTTGGGGTGGTGGTCCTCAGGTGACCCAGCTGACATGGCAGTAGGAGCTCACAGGTGGCACGGTGCCCACTGGCCACTAAGCCCCTCTTACCCATTCCTCCAGGCAGCAGGGCCAGGTGCCATGCCTTGACCCTGCCTAGGGGGATATGTGGCCCCCAGGCAGGAGGGGTTTTTTGCAAGGTTAAGGGCAGCAAACAGGGAGTCATCCCTGTCCCCGCCGCTGCATCAGGCCCTGGGGAGGGGAGGAGCTGGGCGGCAGCTTGTCCACATCTGATCCTGGCACCAAATGGAGGTGTGAGGTGACCGGGAAGGGGTACGAGGGGCCCTCTGGGTGGGATGCTCTGTAGTGTGGGTGGGGGCTACAGGGGCCCAGGTGAGGTGCAGTAGTCCCCCCGCCACTAGAAGCACTAGGGAAAGCAGGGCCAGGTGGGGAGCAGGGGGGCCTTGGCCGAGGGACTCAGCAGACACTGCATCTCACAGGAACCATCAAGGTGGAAGTGCTGGACGCCGTGCCCACCACCGGCCTCACCGTGGCCGACATCCCCCAGCTCATGGAAACCTGCCACCAGGACATGAGGGCCGTCTTCTTCCGCGTGTCCAAGATGGCCCAGAATGGGGGCAGTGGTGGCCTGAGAGCCCAGTAGCCAAGGCTGCAGGCCGGCAGGGCAGTGGGGGGCTGGCCAGAAGATGGCAGGGGACACCCCTCGCCCCCAGACCACCAAATAGCACTGTGTCTGCTTCCTAGCTCCAGATGTCATTCCAGCCTTGGGAACACATGGCCCCTCTGTCACTGGCCAGGGGTCAAAAGGGAGTCTGGCCTGAGCCCACCCCCAAGCTGAGGGTAGGGACCCGCCCGGCCTCCAGGGTCCAGGCTATGTCCACATCAGAGGGCTGAAAGGCCGGGAGCCTTGGGACCAGCTGGTTTGAGTCATCCCTGTCCCCGCTGCTGCATCAGGCCCTGGGGAGAGGAGGGGCTGCACTGGGGGGAGCAGGGGCCAGCGTGTCCACCAGCCCCAGGTCTGCAGACTGCAGGTGGTGCAGTCTCTTGTTTTTTATAAACCACTCTTAGAGACAAACACCTGGTGAATTGTGGTCGTTCGGAAAGCATGCGGTAGGACGCCCCCTCCCCAGGAGGCATGTTGTGAGAGCCCTTGCAACCCGGCCGGTAGCGGGCCCGCCATGCCCCCCAGCATCCCAGGCAGTGGATGAGAACAGCAGCTGTGCTGGGGGCTGACAGCAGGGGGACAAGGCAGATGCCTGGGCAGGTGTGCCCCCAGAGAAAGCCGTTGTCACCATGCCACCACAGAACCTACTGCTCCTGCCTGTGGGGAGCTGGGGGAGGGAGGTCCTGGAAGGGTGAAGACCCCTGGGACATTACATTCCTGCCCCCTCCTCTCACCGTGTAAGGCCAGACCTGACTCCCGGGGGGATGTGGGGTGTAGGGGGCAGCCCAGCCAACTCCCAGCAGCAGTGGGAACTTCTAGGGATCTGGGGCGGGGGTGGGGGTGGGTGGGGGGTGACATTGTCCCTGAGGATTGCTTCTCTCCCAGGCCCCCTCTGCTTCCAGTGCCGAACCACGCTCTCCACACAGAGCAGGACCTCAAGTTTAATCTTTATTTGACAAAACACCAGGGGACCGGCCCCTCTGGGAAGGCAGCCCAGCTGGGCTTGGGTGGGGGATGGGGGGTGGGGTGGGGATAACGGGGCTCCTTTGGCACCTGGGGGCTTCAGGGTCAGCCTGGGCCTGGCTCAGAGGCCAAGGGGAGCAGCAGGCCCGACTGGTTGGGTTCCCGCGCCCATACAGTGCCCCATCCCTGAGACTGGCAGCCGAGGGTCGAATGGCTCACTGACCAGGAGCGGAGCCCGTGCTGGCCAGCACAGGGCGGATGGGCGTGAGGCGGGAAGGGCTCCAGGGGCCCAGCCAGTCACCGTTCCTGCTTGCAGGAGCCTAGGAGGGTGGGGGAAACGGGTCAGAGGTCACCCCATCCCTCATGGCTTCCCGGCCCGGGGTCTGCACTCACAGGCACCCAGCTGCTCTTCCAGCAGGGAGATCTGCTCGCTCAGGGAGTCTATGCGCTCCAGCTGCTGCAAGGAGTGGAGCAGCAGGCTGCCGGGGTCCGGGAGCCCGAGCTGCAGGGCCCGTGAGGCCAGGCTGTCCAGGGGGGCTAGCACCAGCTGCAGCTTCTGCAGGAGGCAGAAGACGCAGCTGGGAGGCACAGGCCTGCACCCTACCCCCAGGTGGTTCTACTCTGGCCTGCTTGGGCTCTGCCGAGCTGCCCACCAGCTCCTGGCTGCGAGGCCCTGGGTGTCCACTAGGGGGAGATGCCGGACCAAAGATCCCATAAGGGCCCCTCTCTGCCTGCCCCCCACCTCCTACCACCAGGAAGGGGCCCTCACAGCCCACCTCTGGGGGAGGCTGGAGGGCACCCCAAGTAAGGACAGTGGGCAAGTATGGGACAAGCTGGGGCCAGGCTCGGTGTCTGTCCTGGGGGGCCCCCAGACCAAAGCACTTTCTCAGTAGTCAGCCAGCCTCCTGGTCTGGTGTTGGGCCTGGTCGTGGCCCCGGGGCCACTGTTCAACCCCACCCAGCCCCGGGGGCTGGGGCACAGGGCAAGTGCCACCAGGCTGGGGTTCACCTGCTCCAGCATGGCCACCTTGGACTGCAGGCTCTGCACTTCCTGATGCACTGCCCAGTCCCTTCCTGGGTTGGGGAGATGTAGGCACAGGGTCAGCCCTGTCGGAGCCCCTGGTGGGGACGCTCCCCCAGGCCCCAGGGCTCTGCTTCCACCGTGGCTTCAGTCGGCGTCCATGGCAAGTGAGCAGCGTCCACGGCGAGCTGTGTCCACGGCGTGGCGCGGGGCCACCGACAGCGCATTATTACTCACGGTACGAGTTTGACGTGTCACAGCGCGTACCAAAAGTAATAATGTCCCGTCGCCGGCACGGGCGGCCGCAGGTCTCCTCGGGGCAGCCGGATGGGGGTCAGCAGGGTCTTCTTCCCGTCTGAGCTGAGGCCTCGCAGCAGCCCTCCTCCCTCCCCTTGTCTGGGGGGTGGGGCTCCTTCCATGTTCTGCTCCAGGCCACTGCCCACACCCACTGCACCCGAGGGCCAGCTGGGGAGGGACCAGGAGCTCACCTGGCTTGGGGCAGGGGGCCGCGGTGGGGGGCCCCCTCATGGGCACGCAGAGAGCCCTATCAGCGGACAGGCGGTGGCCCTCCTGACACTGGCACTGGTAGCTGCCCGCCGTGTTGACACAGTGTTGGGGGCAGCCGCCACGGCCGAAGCGACACTCATCCACATCTGGAAGCCAGCGATGGGTCAGACGGGGGCCAGGAGGTGCCTCCCCCACCATCAGCCTCCCCGCAGGTTGGGCAGTGACCTGTCTGGCAGGTGTTCCCCTGCCACCCGGCTGGGCAGTGGCATCGACCAGGCTGGACACATCTCCCTCCGTTCTGGCACGGTGGCTGGCACACTGCTGTGGGGGAGGGGGCTGTCACCCTTTCAGGGGCCCCGCGAATCCTTGGGGAGCCCCGGGGAAGGAGCATTGAGTGGCAGAGGCACCATGCTCCTTTAGAGAAACATGGGGGGCAGAGGGGCTTTGCCTGAGGGCTGGACTGGGCTGTCAGTTCACTAGTGTTGGGCCTGGGGGTGGGACCTTTTGGTCTGAGGGGAGGGGTCCAGGGTCTGAGGACCCCGGGGGTCACGGACTCACCTGCCCCACAGGCCCCAGGGAGCCCACCCGTCCTCTTCCAGCCAGGACAGCAGGTGTAGCGCGGTCTGGCTGGGGCTGGCCCTGGCCTCCTGCGGTAGGCGGTCCTGTAGATGGTCCTGTGAGAAGGTACAGCTCAGAGGGCAGGACTCCAAGGTGTGGGTGCACTGGCCTCCCCACAGAGCGTGTGGGGGCCACTCACCTGCCTACCCCTGGAGCCAGGGCTGGCAGCTGAGGTTCCTCCCATTGGTGTTGAGGGCAGGCTAAGCAGGGGTGCCACCTGACAGGGCTCCTACTACCGGGGCCAGGGGCTGGCAGAGATCCCCAGCAGGACAGGGCTGGGAACGCAAGGCTCAGTTCCCCATATCTCACCTACCCCCCCCCAGC